CCGAGCGAGTCTTTAGAACCGCGAATCCCGCATTTGGACCTACAACCTCCCTGTGAAAACGGGAGCTGGTTTTCTTGTCACCAAACGGTTCACCTTCGCTGAAAATTGCTTTCGTTTGAAAAGTACTGGATAAAGCCGACTGCGAGCCCTGTCTATCATCGGAACCATCTGGCGTGTACGGGGTCCTTACGCCACACTAGCAAACGCATCCCCATTTCCTTCTCAGTTTAATTGACGCGTGGACTTATTGCTGTTATGAAAGAGTAGGCAACGGAGCGCACGGCCCACCATGGTTCTACAGAGTAGATGCGTTTCCAAATCACGAGGAGTTTACAGTTGTATTTTGTAGGCTTGCTAGCTGACTGGTTCACAGGATTCTTCTCAGCGCTAGGGATCACGCTGCAGTGACCGAATGGCCTTTCTCTTACATGAATCCCGGACTGCTTCACGTGTATTTAGGAATTAGCACGTATGTTGGATATGTAGACATTGCTCCGGTCTTCATTGCTGTGCAATACGCTTTACTCTTAGGAACAACGGGAGGCTCAGGAAGAGTGAGTGCGGTAGTTACTGCATAAGTCGCTTCTGCTCCTATTCGAGTTTAGGGAATGAATTAATGATGATTTAGGGTTTCCCTGTAGTCAGTCAACAGTAAATTCACTAGCGCCTATGTTTCATGTCCACTGAGTCCTTTGTCGATTGGCTCCATAGGCCGTTCGTGGAAAACGAATCATCCAAATTTGCAGTGCCGTTTTAGCCCTCCTTAAGAAAAGAATTTTCTTTCTGCCGCATGAATTTTATCCTTGCCCTTCGATACAGCCGTAATGACATCCTTCAAGTTGTGTTTCGCTCTCCTCTTTCCAATATTGCCTTAAGCGTCAAATGGTTACTCAGCAGATAAGCGCACTCCGTTGCCAGTCAATGTAAAGAAAGAGACTAGACAATCCATGCCTCATTATGTTGGTACCAATGAGGGATGACTTCAGTGGAGTCATGAGGGCATACTGAGTAGTAAGAATGAAACACTAGAACGGTCACTTTTGACTTCTTAGCTATTATCAGCCACACAAATATCCAAGTCCCTAGACCCGAGGTTTGAACTCGAGCCAGTTGGTCCTCGAGCAGCGCCCCGTAACTGCCCCGCGGATTGAGGTCCATTAATGTCAATCGGTTGTGTCCACTTAACGTCAAATACGCTGTCATCATCACTTGTATGAGCTATGGGCTATTGTAAGTCGATAGTCTGTACCTTTTGATGCTCGTATTGACGATG